TTATCATGTTTAGTGGCCCTGGCTTGAGGCTCAAGCTGAATCGGGGTGGCGGGGGCGGAGCGAGGCGCCCCTCCCCCGCCACCCGCACCCGGCGAGAAGTTCCCGGTTGACCTGAAACAAGCAGTCGTTTAGTAAAATACACAATACAGAACTTATAACCTAAAACCATATAATAATATATTCCTATATTTCAGACGACCATATTTTGTCGTCACGAGATTAAATAGATCTGATGGTAAGTGATAAGTGCCCATGAACACTCAATGCCATAGAGCTAGCGTGAGGTTGTCGGCCTTAAAATTAGTACCCTCTTTACTTGAAGGACCCTAAGTCGGATTGATAAGGAAATACTTCAGTGGTAATACATGCTATGAACACATTATTTAAACGTTACGTTGTAGCAACAAATAATCCTGAATATGTTCGTCATAAAATAATGATTATATGGTAATCAAATACGACCTATATTAATGTCCACGGTCATTTCTTAATTAGGATATCACTGAAATTTAAAACGCATTGTTGTACTGTTTTACATATATATGTATATATACAGATAAAAACATGAATACAAAAGTCAAACTAAGCACTACGGCTCGTTTCTAAATCTCACCCACAGAAACGTGTACTGAATTTAATACTGGTTTTATCTGTATAAGTACAAATATTATACGTTTTAAATTTCTTTTTTCTTACTTCTATACGTGAAAAATTATTGGATTTTAACATACATGAGTCATACTTAGCGCAAAGTCTCGACTCTGAATCTTATCAGAAACAGTAAAGTTCATATTGGTTTTATCTGTAAGAAAAAAAGTACATAATATGCGCTTTAAATCTCTTTTTTCTGACTTTTATATGTCAAAAATGTATTAGATTTTGTCATACGGGAGCAGTTTTTGGAGTTATACTTCTTTAGGTGCGTTATGAAAAATTGATGAGAGTTTAATTTTACGATGCGCGCGCACCGTGACACAAAATTAACAGAATGAAGTTGCCCACGGAAGATGCTACGGCATTGGACATAATTTAAAAACAACATTCGAAGAATAATTTAATTTATGTTACACTTAATGTAAGAGAATAATAATAAATATTAATTTATTTAATTTTTCAAATGTAAACTTAACTTTAATGACTATAATGACTCCTTTTCCAGTCTTTGATTATTTAATTGTAATTAATTATTTGCATGCAATTAAAAACTATTTTTAATAATGCCAAAGAAGTATAACTTCTTACGCGCGTACATTAGTACACGCACCCTTTTATTTTTATTAATAATTTTCTACTCCCCTGCCATTGTGTCCAGGGACTTTTCTATCTCTCATTTTTTTTCCAAAAAACAAGATACATTAGGTATATTAATTCCAATACACTAGTTCTACGGGAGCAATTTAGCTCTTAGTTCTAAATCTTAGATAGCGCCAGTATACATATTTGTAACGTAGTATAATTTTCTTATCCCAAATGTCAGTGTTTACGCTGTGACGGAAAACAGTATAGGTCATTGTACACTTAAAGTAAATATTATTTTTTGATAGGAATTTAATCTGGCATATCTGATACGTAAAGCTTAAATTTGCGTGCAACAACGGACCAAGTAGTCAGCTTTGCTAACCGATTTAAGTTGTTGGACCGTACCCGTAAATAAACCGACAAGCAAGAAGGTTGATTTGAAAACTGGCAGTAAATGTAAAACTAGAAGCATTAAATGTATATTTCTTTTCTGACGTTCTTAAGTGTACATTGTGTTACCTACATGAATAAATGATTTTTGACTTGACATTTGTTATCAATGATCTCTATGTATGTGATATTGTTGGAATTGAATAAGATAATCTTTTTTAGCTTCTTTAACGTAATACATTTTGGAAGTGTAATGTACGCACTTATAATAAATTTGGTAAATTTATTACTCGAAAACTATGAATCACATTATATATTAGGCAAAATTACGGGGGGGGGGGGGGTAAGGGGGGGGGGGGTGGGGTGAAATCTCATTTAATCTTGTGGAGGGGGGGAGTGTGGGGGGGGGGGGGGGGGAAAAATAGATAAAAAAATGGTGGGGGGGGGGGGGGAATCGGCAAATATCACGCAATTTTTTTCTGATTGAAAAAAAAACTTAGGAAAACCACCACCGGGTCAACGGGTCAACCACCCGGCCATCTCTGCAACTTCCGCTAACTCCATACCTAAACGCTCAACATTTCACTTATTTTGTTTTAGTCGTTAATAAAAGCATGAAGCAATTTTTTTTTCTTTTTATAATAACAATCCAACGCGTTTACGAGAGGAACCCTACATTTTGAAAAATCACGTGAGATGGGGGGATGGGGAGGGGTTGAATAAAATCTCACGACATCTCACCAGGGGGGGGGAGGTACAGAAAATTTATAAAAAACACCTCACGTAATTTATGGACGCCCCCTTACAACTTAGAATCCTTTAGTGGTTTCTGACGTGTATAATATAGGTTAATAATGTTGACAATTATTTAAGTCGGTTTATATTTTTAGATGAGACCTTAGCCAAGTTAAGTCACATAGATAACAAATAGATGAAGTTTATAAAGCTGATTTCTAAAATAAAAGGATTTATTATTAATTTAAACTAATTAATTAATTTTATTAATTTAGGAATGTAAACTTAATTATATTTACATTTTTCACTATTTTAAGTGAGAACACACATATGAAGGGTAGTTCTTTAAAACTGAAGACCACTCAAATTCCCTTAAGAACTTTTCCCAAACCGAGTAGTGGCTGACTAGGATTGGATAAAAATATTATTACTATTAAATAATCATTATTCTTGAATGTGCCATATTACTTTATGGAATGTATATTTCTAACAAAATATTTGTTAGTAAGATTTAGTAAGGTATAATAGTTCAATGTTTAATTTTTTTTTAGGTTAGTTACGGTCCAGATGTTAGGGGTGTTTCTGTGATAACTTTATACGCTATTAGGTGATCCTTATATAACATCAAAAGCATCACTCAACTAGTGCCATTACAGGAACAGACATAACTTTATTGTGGCGTATAATTTTCCTGCGAAAATTAATTATCCCGAAGTACCGTACGACCTTGTTTCAGATGCCGTCAAATTACCGGAAAATATACAATGGCTTTGGCAGAAATATTAAGATTTATATGTACGTTTCCATCTTAGGGATATTGTGTGAACATACTATGAAAATTGTATCAATATACTTTTATTGACATTAAAAATAATCATAAAATTTCCTTTTATTTATGCAAACATTGAATGAAAGAAAAAAATAATTATATATTATACAAAGTGCACTCGCTACCAGACTAGGATTCCCTGTGTCGTGGGCAGCCCGTCTCTTCCATTTGACATGCCAACGGTATTTGACATAATAATTTCTACATAACACTTACATTTTATAATTTAAATACTGTTGCAAAATAAGAATATTTCTGTTTCAGGATAGATATTGAGAAAATGTTTTTAATATTGTTAGTGAATGTATAAAGTTTTGAAACGTTAGTGAAAATTTTGTTTTTAAGAAAGTGTTTTCTCGTAATTCGCAAGCCGCAGTCTGATAGTTTGCGAATTACGGAGGGAAATAAAAAAATCTTGGATTTGCGTTCCCTAATTGCCATCATTTCATAAAATTTTATAAAAGCCAAGAGGCTGATTGCAGATAGATAAAAAAAGTGGTTAAACATGAAAGAAAATGAAAAGGGTTGGGCGAAGAAAGTGCGTTTTAGGTAGCTTATAATTGTAGGTTTGCGTTGTGTATGATGTGGTGTGATCGGTGTTTGTTTCCAAGAAAGTCTACATATTGCTATTAAGTATAGTTGTTTAACCGTTAAAGTTTTGTTTCACTGTAATAACGACTTTAATAGTCTATGTTAAGGTGTAGTTTCCAATACACATTTCGAATTAGAAAGAATTAGAAAATCGTGGCGCGTGAGAAATTTTGTGAACCAATCACAATCAAACGAAACGTAGCTTAAGTGCAGCTGTATTAACGTGTGTCTGCTCGCAGTAACTTAGAATCCGGAAGAATATTAAACGATCATTAAATTAGCATACATAAACAGATATAGGACAGTACTTATTCTCCTAAATATTCTCTAAATCACACGTATCTCGTACTAAACACTGTTCATTGTTTTAGCGAAAGCTCACAGAAACTATTCGAGTTGTTCCACAAAATATTACCCTACTTTATGAACTAAGAAAATCATAAACATCGCGGAGGCAACACCGTAAAACACCGCGGTTTATTGCTCGTGATCCAAGGAGATTTTTACGGTCCCACTTTTTCTTCGCAATACTCGGGAAAGTTTTGCATTTAAAAACTATTTGACTTCAACCGTTATACAGAAACTTATTTCTCGCTTGAACAATAAATTAAATTAATATTACAAAGCAATAGTTTATTAGTGTGACAGGTCAAATATTAATATTAGTAGGTAACATTAATAATATACCTTTTTAATTTATCACAATTATACAATCAAATGAGCAGTGTTGGCCTAGCGGCTTCAGTGTGCGACCCTAACCGCGTTCGAATCACGGCTGTGCAACAATGACATTTTCTTTCTATGTGCGCAATTAACTTGCTCCTAAGCTGAAGGCAAAATTTAACAACCGGCATGTCTCTAAACCAAATTTCGATCAAAAATTACCGAGAAACGGGTGGAATCTGAGTCCAAGACCCATTTAGGGTTGTAGCGCCACGAGATTGTTATTATAAAAATTTACTAACACTGTTCACAATAATGAATGTTTAAGAGAAATACCTTAAATGCCGATATCATCAAGGGAAAAAATACAACAAAAACTGCGAGTGCGTTACTTAACTTTATTACTGAAAATGGGCGAATGATATTGGATTTGTTTAAAAATACTGTTTGTTTTGGGAAAGACGATTTAAGATATTTGACTCTGTGTTTATAAAATAGATAAGTTACATATATAATGTTAATTAGTCGCAACAGTACTTTCATTACATTCACAATGCAGACTGGAGTTATTATAATTTTTGTCATCAATATTCTACTTATTGAAGGGGTAAGCTATTCGTAGATTTAGAAGTTCCTTTTGTGCAATATAGTTTTTAAAATGTTAACGAAAAATTTAGTAAAATCTAGTTCATTTGTTTCAACGCGAAATTCAATTCCAGGATACGAATTATTTGTATTGCATAGTCCATTTATAAAGTAATATAGCAGCACACCGCGACTGAATTAAGTCGGTTGTTTGCTAGTTATATATGTAAGAAAATACCGTTGAATTCACAAAAAAATATTCTTATTTTAAATTGGTCCCCATTACAATATCAGTATTAATTATTATCACTAATTTGATTCCAACGTGGGTGAACTCCTTGTGGCCTGATAAGGGTTTTATTTGAACATTCGTTTAAAAGGATATCCGGACAATAACCGGTCAAGGGCGAAGTGCTAATAAAACTTTTGCAATACTACGTAGGCACATCCGTTACGATAATCGTGGCGTAATTTTGTAATTTTTTTTACTGTATAATATTTTTACTTGTCTTAATATATAATTCAAAATATTAATATATAATAAAATAATACATGAAAAGCATTAAGATAAAGATCTGGCCGTAAGATGCTACATAATTTTTACTTTCGACTTTGTCTGCTGTGGGAGTCAACGATTTCAAATTCCATATATGAAAGCGAAAAACGTGTAATCTTGCAGATAATGATACTGACTAAGTACGAAGCGGAAGCATCAACGATTGATCAAGAATCAAATCCTCTGTCGATGACAAATTTCGATAAATCACAGGAAAGATTTACAGAATTCAAATCATTGGATCGTGAGGAAAACGATAGTTCTTACGAAACTGAGAACGACAGGAAAACGGATGAGAAAATAAAAAAGGTAAATTAATATCCTCACATAGTATTGTATTTTTCTTGATTGATAGAAAAGGTAAATAATTATTTAAATAGTAGCTGCTCCTGCAAACTCGCTTCGCCTTAATGATTTTTTTTACTTAGTTTACATTTTTGCTATGCTACCCCATAGGACTGTTCGCTTTTCCGGAATAAAACTCTAAAAATTAGATAATTATAACTCCGATTGTGTATTATCAGAGATTTAATAATAATTAATTGTTTGGTCGGCAGAGAAGTCTGTTAAAAGTCGAAATTTGAAAGCCCATAATTATGGAATACGATTTAACATAGAAAATTTATAACGCACACATCAAATACAAACATATTATTGCTACTTATTACTTTATCATGTTAAAAAGTAATAAAAGCTGAGGCCTTATTATTTAAGCTTAGACGCATTTACGATAAAACTTATTCAAGTCGTTCAGAATGAATGATTGTACTATTAACGAAGATTACTTACTATTTTTTTCAATTATTTAGGGACATAATTATTAGTTACAACAAATTACTAGGCCTAACAAAACTAAAAGGCAAGGCACTTGCGAGACTTCTGGCAGTGAGTGTATATATCACTTAACATTTGGCCTGCTGCCCGTTTGGCCCCTGTTCTATAAAAAGGTATCTCCATCATTGTATGGAACTGACACATTTCTCAGTCTGTAACTTGTCAATGTTCGTCGTTATAACAATGTGCAATCTATAGTCTATAAACAGTATATATATATTTATTTACACTCTTGATATAATAATCTTTATCTTTTAACTGCGCACTTTGAGAGAAACATCCATAAGAACGATTTCAACAAACTGAGGGTTTTGAAGTGCCATATGAAGCTGCCTTAGACTTATAATTTTATTTTACAGCCATGCTCCATGGTGGTGTTATCTCACATCCAAAACCCGAGTTTGCAGTCATTATTGAGAAAGTATCGATACGATGCAAATGGTAAAGTTGATAATCCATAAATTATGCAATTAATTAAGTCATGAGAATGCGAAGTATACCTTCAGCAAAACGCCACTTCATGAACTTTGTGAATACAAATACTACTGAAATTAGACTAAAACTAAAATTGGTCTTTTCTATGTAAAAAAAAGGCACGTTAATAAATAAAATATTTTTTTCTATCAATTAGTAAAGTGAAATGAGAGTGACAAGGATGAAACATCACATAGCTATTTGAAGCATTTAGTACATATATAAGGATATAAGCTATCTTATACTCTATTTAGATTTACTCTATGAGATTTAAATTGCGAAATTATTATATTAATGAATTCTTTACATCGGTCTGCGAGTTGCAAGAGACACAAGTAAAATATATACTAATTTCTTATTCAGTTGAAAGCACTAATATCAGAAACTACTAAACCGAATTAATATGTTTCGTTTTTAAGTAATATTCATCATCAACAGGCATCCTGATACCCAGTAGCGTGAAGTACTTCATCAAGATGCCACAAGGTTTAAAGTCCTCACCGCTCCTAGTGCCGTTAAACGACAAGTCGTATTCACCACTGGGCAGTTTCGTAAGGTATTCCAAGATTGTTAAATTTAGCTTACTTTTCCTTAGAATAAGGGCCTGATTTGGATGATGTCTTGTGGCTTGCTGTCTTCAATACAAATCTTTTGTCTTAATTCACTTCAAAAATCGTGTATTGACACTATCAGGAAGACAATGAAAGTCAAACATTTCATAACATTGCGCTAGTTTTTATCTCAAGCATTGAATTTCAAAATATGTGCATTTATCAATCTGTCTGGCAGAACGCCCACTTTGAATGGCATTATAAAATGATTTAATTTTTTTAAATAAACAGTCAGAGACTCTCAGTATGAGGATAAAGTACCTAGAATAAGATTTCTTACAACTCAAGAGAACCAGAAATGTACTGATAACTTGGATTATTTATTCAGCTGATTTAGCCTAGATAAGTGAGAAATATTCATCCCTGGGGTACTTTCAAATCCATGGTACTTTTTAACTGCCCATAACAATCGCAATAAGCTATTTGACTGTATGAAAAAAAGTATTATTGAGAGTTGTCTGTATAGCATGGCTTTAAAAAGCAATAAGTATGAAGTAGAATAGCTTGTAAATATTTATTAATTTAGCAAATATTTATTTTTATACGGCAATCACGTGACTCAAAATGGTCACCGATTAGTCGAATCGACATAGGCCAGACATTGACGTAGAATCAGGAATATTTCGTGACGGGTGCAAGAAATTGTGAATATTTAAAGCCAATACTCAACAGAATCGAAAATATCACTAATAAATAATTTGAAAATGATTTTTAAATTCTTGACAAATAGGCCATTCCGAGTTTAATATGAGTTTTTGTTCCGCACGATCGCAAGATTAAGGCAGAAGTACAAAATATCGGCGCTGGCTTAGCTTTACGCAATGAATATATGAATATATGAGTAAGGGAAGTACACATGCACAGATCTCAACCAGGCCAGGCCTATAAAGAAAAATATTACATGAAATAGAAGCAGAAATGTGCGCATACATTATTGAAGTACCTACTTTGTAAAAAATTGTATAGTATTTTTTTCCATACAAATAGTCATCACATTGCTTTAATTATATAGTATATAGGCAAATTATTTACATAACTATGTTTATATTGCGAACGAATTCCTAACATTTCAGATATTACAAGGAAGTACCGCCGATTCCGCAAGCTTGGTAAATAATACAATTATTATCGTTATAAAACCCATTTTGTATTTAGTATAGGATGAATAAACTTGAAATCTCAATTTGTTTTTTTTTTCACAGACCACCACATTAAGTCGACATTGACATATAATTTTGTATTAAGACGAATAAACTTGAAATCTGCGTTTTTTATTTTCTTACAGACTACCTACACATTAAGCTGACATTGACATGTAATAAAATATTGTCATGTTGTTTTGCACTGTTTTATCTGAGGTTATAATTTCGCGTAAAATAATGATTTAATTAATTATAATTAATATATTTGCGTTTCTACCCGTAAAGTTGTATTTAAATGTGTCGTACTCGCGTAAATCAAAGAAAATACTTGTGGATACAGCCAAGAGCCACATTTATCACTGTGAACGTCGTCTTTATTGGTTTATGAAGGTGTACGATTAACACAAATTGAAAATAATCAGTCTAGCTTTGACGGTTATTGTAACTCCCCCAGCCTACCATGAACTCTTATTGCGAGCCTATTGACAGCCTACAACTGAGATGCATCGCTAATTCGTACCATGACATCGAAAAACCGAGACAGTTTATGTTCCCACGTGACCTTAGCGGTTATCAGACTTCGTTCGTTCAATTTATGAAAATTCGTACCATGACCGCTCGGCTGAACCGAAATTTGACAGTTGCGCCTTCCAACTACGACAGAATAAGCGATTCTAAAAAAGTTACTTTTTGTTTATCTTTTTTGTATCGAAATGTCCAAATAATAGTTAAGAACCAATAAAATTCAATATGTATCTACTATATCTATGTTTCGGATATTTTGGGGCATTTTGAGTTTAAAAGTGTGATTATAAATAAATTATTAAAATATCGACGGAGATGATAAACAAGACGGCAATGCCCTTCTACCGACTACATAGATATCGAGTTTATAATTTGCTATAGATTAACGACTTTGATTCGTTGAAGATTTAAGTGTACCTAAAAATAATTGCACAAACTATGTTGAATAATATTCAATAAATTAATTAGGCATGTCTAACAAAAACACAATTCCCCAATATATCATATTTTATAGTAAATAGGCATGCCATATCAGTAGTAGATATTTATTATAATTAAATTTTTTCTCATTATGTTCATGAATTGTATGATTATCCTCTGCTTTTTGAAAAACTTCTTTAAAAACATAGGTATTTTATCAAATTTATACCTAATGTGTAAATAATAAGCCATTTGAAAATATTATAATAACAGTATTTAATTAGTTAGGATGACTCCATCAAGATAGAAAAAGGTGTCTTCAGGCAATGTTCAATTGGATATAAACATATAGGTATTCATTATATTTCATTCTCTCAATTCAGCGAGTTTGTCAGGTTTAAGCTGTAAAGAAAATATAATTATTTATATTATATTAATTAGTTAACGTATTTAAACTAAATTTGCACAACAATTTGAAGGAAATAATTTTTATTATGATTTTCGAGTAATAGGTCTTTTGCAAAGAGTTTTATATAAGGAATTAACTTCAATATAGGTTTTTGAAGTTATACTTCTTTAGGCGCGTTATGAAAAATTTATGAGAGTGAAATTTTACGATGCGCGCGCACCTGTGACACAAAATTGGGAGTGTGATTATAGCGTGCGCGAGCGAGATAGGAATAAGACAATCTACAAGTAAAAAGAAATAGAATATGCGTGAAGTTCGTATGCCAAGAATTTTGAATGACCATAATGACATTTATCATTTACCTTTTAAACAAATAAAGGAGTTTTGATTATTTTTTCAAAGAAATTTATTAATTTTATATTGTGCAATACTGCCAAAGCTACAACATACTTCTTAGTGTTTGGTAGAGATGTTCTAAATATATAATAATATATACTTTTAACTAAATAGAATTTATGTTACACTTAATGTAAGAGAATAATAATAAATAATTATTTATTTAATTTTTCAAATGTAAACTGAACTTAATTGACTATAATGACTCCTTTTCCAGTCTTTGATTATTTAATTGTAATTAATTATTTGCATGCAATCAAAAACTATTTTTAATAATGCCAAAGAAGTATAACTTCTTACGCGCGTACATAAGTACACGCACCCTTTTTTTTCTAATAAACTAATTTGTGAGCAAGACTTACCCCATCATATTATTTTATAAGTTAAACAATTTGTAAAACTATATTTATAAAAACTGAAATTTTGTAAACACCAAAATATTGAAAGCTACTATCTACTATCATAGCACCAGAAAACTTTGTTTAAAATACATATATATATCAAAAGAATTGTTTTATATTAAATAAATATATATATAATTGTGATTGATGAATTATTGAAAATAATTTTATATTTTATTTATTTTTATAGAAACATCTGTCATAGAAAGTTTACAGTTAAAGATACACGGTAAAAAAAACAAGATACACGGGAAAAAATTCTAAATTGCCCTTTTATCATTTGTATGTGAAATTTAATTTTCATTTCGAGGCAAATTGGGATTGGATTTCATGGCCTTTCACAATACTTAGATATAGACATATCAAAATCATAATTGAACGCAGATATTTGCCTGCATTTATATAAAGTCCCCGCCGCGGTTTGTATTATACTAAATGCGAAAGAAACCGAAAAATCTAGATCAACAGTATAATCAATAACATAAAATAATAGTTGGAACAGAACAAGACTTTAGGTAACTGGCAATGATAGTGTAGATATAGATAGAAATAGATAGATTTCGATACATATAGATATAGATAGATATGGATAGATATATATAGATATAGAAAAGGCTTTACTAGCGGCCATAGACAACCTAATTACTACTAGTAATTAATATTTCCAAATATTATACCTTGACCAGAATAGGTTGGGTTAGTTTTAGAAGGATTTTAAAACAGAGATTTGAAAATTGAAAAGTAGATTCTAGATGAATCAAACGAGTGCATATATAATGTATGTATAATAAAATATATATAAATATTTATATTGTATATACATGTAATGGAATGATATTTCATTAATTTGAATTTGACGCGTCGGAGTGACACGCGATAAAATGGCGGATGACGTGTAGATTAATTTAGTGGATTGTATTGTAAAAAGATAGATTAAAATATATAAAAGATAGATAAGTGAACATTAAATGTCGTTTCTTTGTATTTCAGGTAAGAATAATTATTATAGTTAGACCATAAGTGCATTATATTATAAAATGTAATTAATAAAATAAAAACTTTGTATTTCAGAGAAACAATTTTGTGTTTCATTTTGAAAAAATGCTGAATAATATTCCTTATAAAACGACATTTTTGTTAATTAAAAGAAGATGGACCGGCTGCAATTTGAGTTAACGATGATAGCCTCAATCGATGGCAAATCTAACGTATTGGCCATAACTTCAATATTGACAGAAGAAGGAAAATGTTATGTTTTACCTGATGAACTGAAGCCGGTGATTCATCATACATATATAGTTAAATTGAACACTTTTTCAAAAATAAAAAATAGTATAAAGAAAAGGCACCAAAGCAGAAAGATATGGGTAAAATTAGATGAAGATCTAAAGAAAACATATATAGATGAGGAAGGTAATATGCAATTTTTAGATCAAAAAAAAATATATATATATAATAATAAAAATAAAATAATAAATAAATAATTAATATATTTATATATTTTGTATCATCATTTTTTTTTTTTACATATACAAGTAGTCTTTAACGATCAGGGTTGGAAAACAGGTTTTTAATTTAAAAACGAACAGTTCAAATTATTTTAATAGCTTGTATTTTTGTTCTTTTTAGATATATTTCAAAATTCCCAGCGGGGCTATCTATACAGGCGGGGTATAACTATGAATTATATTCTATGAATATGGAAAACTCCAGTAATTATATTTAAATGTGGGCAATTAGTCCATTAAATTATTGTCGACAGCCGACATTAGAGAACTATAACGGGTCTTTACTTGTATTCCATTTCATCTCATCAATTCTGCGACGGATAAATCCTCATAGAATTGTCAAGTCTCGTGTGAGAAAAAAGTGTTTTAAAAGAAGTGGTTGTACAACACAATCTCGCCTGTGACTGTCAAATTTGTTAAACTGCACATAAATGGCCTAACAACATTTCACTTTTACTGACATTCTTTAATACAAGTTTGATTAAACCAAATGTTTCTCATGACTTGAATAAGTAAACGTAGTGAGAAAGCAACAGTTCATTGGAAAACTACGAAAGACAAGGTTGTATTAAGTGTTCTTAATTTATCTATTCAAGGTTATTTCCTTACTTTATGACCTCAAAGCTTTTAAGATTAAGTTTAAATTAATTAAATATCTTAACTTAAATCATTGTATAAAAAACTGTGGCGCAGCCTTTTAAAGCCTCGGATTTCTGTATTTTCTGTCATTTGTTTTTTCTAATAGGAAAGTAGGTAATCAGCCTACTTGACGCACGCCGTCCCCTGTTTCGGTCTAAGCCATGGCAGTTACCTAGCAATGTTTTCCTTCACCATACAAACAGAAGAAAGTCCACTAGTACATAGCCGGATTTCGAACCTACGACGTCAGGGATGAGAGATTAATGGAGACCAGACAATTGGAAATCTTTAGCAAAGAGTAAAACTGACTACTAACAATTAAGTTAATATCGTAATTATTATTAATTAGTTTTAATCCCAGAAATGCTATGAGTACTTAAATTTCTAAGGAAGATGTTCTAACAAGGATCCTCAAGTGGTTTTTAAACCTATAGAAATGTCACCAATATCTCAATCAGTAATCCTTTCAATACAAAATAATTAAAAGGAAAATGCAAGAATCATGAATTCCTACATAATAATAGACATTAAAATCTGTTTCGCAAATGACTGTTACATTAGTAGAACAGCAGTTAGCGTTAAATCCGGTGTAATAACAAAATATAATGATCCGTACTTTTGGTTCTCAAATAAAATTATTAATATTAAATTTATGACACTTTCTCAGAGTTTT